TTTTTAAAAAAAAAAAAAAAAAAAAAGGGTGACGGTCTTGAGATATCATCATTGAGCTGACCGGCCCCAGGCAATTCAGAATATTTGGTTTTACTCATCAAGTTCCATCATCTGGGTTCGAACACGGGTCTGTATTTCAACAGTTCAATGGTGTACCTTCCGAGTTTTGTAGTGTAGGAGTTTCGGGTGGATGAGCGAAACGACATACATCTAAACTGTCTTGGGCAGATTAGTTGGACGATGATGCCTCAAGAGGGCTTCAAGCAAAGAAAACAGCAAAACGAAAAGCAAAAGACAAAATTGTGGACACGAACCCTAAAGAAACAAACTTCGACTTCCACGTGGAGGCACCCTTGTAGTCGTGGTTACAGCCTGGGTACTGGGTAGGTCACTGTTCCCTACGAAGAATGCGGCGCCAGTTTTGAAATGCGACCCGTTCACAGCCACGGGATGGGAACTGAAAAAAAACAAGGAAAAACACGAAAATAGGGCCTCGCTGCACTACTCTCCACGTGCACAAAAGACAAATAAATGGCAATGTCTCACTATTGTCCGGAATGTTTTGCTTACGCATTTATTGTCCAGATTTGTGCGCACTAGTAGCATTGTATTTCCTCAAATCCCGAATCTGGACGTGATTGTGGAGATGGCGGTTGCGGAAACCCGACGCGATTTTCTGCGCATCCACGTCCATATTCCGGGGTTGCTAGTGGGACTTGGCCTCATTCCTTTCCTTTCCTCTTTTTGTTTTTTTCTGTTTTTTTTCCTTTCTTTCTTTTTCTTTTTGGAGCACTCTCTGAGGGGGTACTCATGCCACTACCGGCAGTACTTTCGTAAATGAATCTGACCGCAATTACGTGCAGAGGGGGATAAATCTGACCGTAATAGCGTCCCGAGCTTCGTAGAAAAGTCTTCGTGTGAGTATGCCCTGACTAATGCGCGCCATTGCGCGGCAGCGGCACCCCTGCGCAGGCGACATGCAATCCGCTCTGTACATGTCCCAATTCTCATCGATGTCCCGAAGGGCTGTTTCATGTTTGCGCAGAGGCCATGCTAAGCTCCTCTGTCTCGCCCCGATTTGAATGGGCATACTAAGGGCGTACTCACACCAGCAGTATCTCAAAGGCATATGACCGCATTCACGGCCATACCTTAATGTATCTGGCCGCAATTCCGTCCAAAAATGCGTAAAAAAGGCCTAGTGTGAGCGTGCCCTCCCACTAGGACCTTTTGCTCTAAGCTGTGGCCGCAATTGCAGTCAGATTCGACTGGGATGCGACCGTAAATGCAGTCATATTCATTTAGACAAGTGTTCGTGTGAGCATTATGCCCCGCCGATGGACAGGCCAGACTTGAGCGACTACCCGCCGTAGGCAGCAGGCCAGGCACCAAGCCGCTGCTAGTGGGACCTGGCATCTGTTTTCCAACCCCCAAACCTCTGTTTTTTTCCTTGCCCGCAAAATGCGCGGGGTTTGTGTGAACCAGGTGCCAGTTTGAGCGCGCCACAGTCCCGTACCAGTGGTAGTGCGAGAACTTGCGTTAAGCGCAGGCACAAAGCTTCGCGCCGCCCAATACCCCTTTTCGCGTGTGCAGGGTTGAACACGAGCCCAGCGCACTGTCAGCCAGCGGTGGAGTTCCAATTAGCGCGAGCGGCTAGGAGTAGGCATCGTGCAGGTACGTCCTCGTCCCCCTCCTCCGCCTTCCCCTTCGCCTTCGCCTTCGCCTTCGCCATCGCCATCGCCATCGCCCTCGCCTCGCCTTCTACTCTTCATCGCGTCGTATCGTTCCTGCCTGCTGTTCTCCATCGCTGCTGTCCTTCACTTCCCCTCCATCCTCCCCCATCCTCCTCCACGATCATCTTCCCTCGTTTCGTTGTCGTCTCCCTCTATAGCCTTCTCCTCCTCCTCCTCCTCCTCCTCCTGCTGCTGCTCCTGCTCCCTCCATTTCCGCTTCTACTCGTTTGTCAACTTCTTCTTACAGGTGGGAAAATGAGGTTGATGGAGGGGAATAGTGTTAAGGAGAAGGATTATAATCGGTGATGGAATGGTGTTCTGAGTAACGATGCAGGGCGCGAGAGTTCAGAGTGAAGATTTGGAATTTCGTTGTCGTCTCCCTCTATAGCCTCCGCCTCCTCCTCCTCCTCCTGCTCCCTCCATTTCCGCTTCTACTCGTTTGTCGACTTCTTCTTACAGGCGGGAAAATGAGGTTGATGGAGGGGAATAGTGTAAGGAGAAGGATTGTAATCGGTGATGGAATGGTGCTCTGAGTAACGATGCAGGGCGCGAGAGTTCAGAGTGAAGATTTGGAATTTCGTTGTCGTCTCCCTCTATAGCCTCCTCCTCCTCCTCCTCCTCCTCCTCCTGCTCCCTCCATTTCCGCTTCTACTCGTTTGTCGACTTCTTCTTACAGGTGGGAAAATGAGGTTGATGGAGGGGAGTAGTGTGAGGAGAAGGATTGTAATCGGTGATGGAATGGTGTTCTGAGTAACGATGCAGGGCGCGAGAGCTCAGAGTGAAGATTTGGAATGGCGGAGGGAGAACTTCCACCGTCTCCCCTCCTCTTCCCCCTCCCTCCTCTTCTTCTCCCTTCATCTTGGAATCCGCTTCTACTCATTTATCCCCTTCTTTTCTAGGTGGGAAATCAGGTTGATGGAGGGAAAACTTCCACGGTCTCCCCTGCTCTTCCCCCTCCCTCCTCTTCCCCCTCCATCCTCTTCTTCTCCCTTCATCTTGGAGTCCGCTTCGACTCATTTATCCCCTTCTTTTCGAAGTGGGAGATCAGGTTGATGGAGACGAAGAGCGTACGGAGGATAATGGAAACGGATGATTGAATCGTACTCTTGAGTACTTATGCAGGGCGCGCGAGAGAGCAGACACTGAAGGTTTGGATTGGCGGACGGGGAACTTCCTCTTCCTCCCACTCTCCTCTGTCGGCGGGCGAGTAGAGAGCGAGGGGAGGGAAGAAAGCCTTAAGCCCAAATGCGGAGTGAAGAGGACCGGGGAAAATGGACTACCGTCTTCCCCCGAACATAACGCACCCTAAAAATGAATGTATACAGGCTATATTTCCGGCCAGATACAGCCAAAATAAGGGTGCGTTGTGTTCGGGGGAAGACGGTAGTTCTCGTAATCGACCCGCGTTTTGAGAGTTCTACTGTAATCAACCCTTGTTTCCTTTTTTTTTTTTTTTTTTTTTTTTTCCCTATATGCGATCAGTTTGCCTGCTGGTGAAAATAGGATAGAGGTAAAGAGGGACACATTTTAGGGGAATAAAAAGCCGACAAGGAAACGGAAAGGAGGAGAGATTTGAAATTCTCTTTTTTTTTTTTTTTCCCTTTTTTATTTTTTTTCAAAGATTAGCAGGAAAGAGGAAGAAGCCGTCGTTGATCTAGGCGTGCGCTCTGGTTGTGCTCCCCTTTGCTTGTATGCTTCAATAGTGCCCATGGATCTGGGTAATCTGCTGCCGAACGCGGGAAGTTCTCCTCGCGAGTAGGGACGAGTAGGGACTGAGGAGGGAAGACCTTGCGCCTCTGGTGCTGCGGGTGTGGGAGAAGGGGTGGCCGGCCAGCGGCAGTTGCTGTTTTATTTTTATAATTATTATTTTTTTATTTTTTTTTTTAATTTGGGCCATTTCTCGATTTTGCGTGTCATCCTTGCGCAGGGGCCTTGCTAATCTTCTCTTTCTCTGTATCGTTCCAATTTTAACGGATGTCCCGAAGTTTTTTTTTTTTTTTTTAATTCTTTCTAATTTGGGCCATTTCTCGATTTATGCGTGTCATCCTTGCGCAGGGGCCATGCTAATCTTCTCTTTCTCTGTATCGTTCCAATTTTAACGGACGGATGTCCCGAAGGACAACTGCTGTTATTTTTTGTTTCCTTATTGTTGTTTTTTGTTCTTTTTTTGTGTTTTTAATAACGAACCAGGCATTGATGGCCGGTTCTAATCTGATATTGAATGTCTTTACCAAAAAAAAAAAATAATAATAAAAAAAAATCTGCAAGTTGGCGAATTTCTCGGTCCTCACGCTAGATTGGGAACAGTACCCGTCCTCCATCTTCGATCGATTGCTAATCGTCATTATCCTGATCCCCCCACTGCACTTCTCCCCATCATCTCCACACCTTCTCCACGCCCGACATCTCCCTCCCACACTACCGCTCTTGCACCTCCTTCATCTGCGCCTCGTTTATCCCCTTTATCCCCTGATCGTCGTGGCCCTCCTCCTTTTCTCTCTTCAGCCGCACCTTCTCCACATCGTCGGGATGCGCTGCACTTCACACTCCACCTCCACAAAGATGCTACTGGATGAGAAACTGAAATTAGAAAAAGAAAAGCCAGGTTAGAGAACAGAAGAGCAGACAAAGATGCATTAGAGGGGTTAGTTGACTCTACCCTTGACGACACGGGAAAGATTCTCAAGGTCGCCCTGATCCTTCATATCTGGCATCTCCTTCCCATCCCGCCCCTTATGATTACCTTCTTCTGCGCCTCGTTTTTTCCTTCTCCTCCTCCTCCTCCACTTCTCTCTCCGTCTCCACCTTCATATCTGGCATCTCCTTCCCACCCCGCCCCTGCTGATTACCTTCTTCTGCGCCTACCGGTAGTTTTTTCCTACTCCTCCCCATTTCTCTTTCCATCTCTAACTTCTCCACGGGGTCCCGATCCTCCACATTCTTCTGCGCCTCGTTTTTTCCTCCTCCTCCTCCTCCTCCTCCTCCTCAACCTTTTCTACGTCGTCCCGGTCCTTCATATTCCCACCCCGCCCCTGATGGTTACCTTCTTCCGCGTCGTTTTTCCCCTCCTCGGAGTTTTTTTTTTTTTTTTTTTTTTTTTTTGCCTTCGMCGGAGCGAGGGGCCGTAAAAAAATGTTGTAAGTTAAAAAAAAAAAAAAAAAAGAAAGTTGTAAGCTGCTCAGTGTGCTCAGCCCACGGTATTTTCTGTAGTAAAAGGCGAAAGAATAGAGCGCCAAGTGAGCTGGGCACGCAGCTCCACCTTTTCCACGTCGTGCCGATCCTTCATTTCCGGCATCTCCTTCTCCTTCCCACGCCGCCCTTGTAGATTACGTTCTCCTGCGCCTCGTGTTTTCCCTCCTCCTCCATGTCCATCTTCTCCACGTGGTCCCGATCCTTCATATCTGGCATCTCCTTCCCACCCCGCCCCTGATAATTACCTTTTTCCGCGCCTCGTCTTCCCCCCCTCTCCTCCTCCTCCACCATTTCTCTCTCCACCTCCACCTTTTCCACGTCGTCCCGATCCTCTTCATTTCCGGCATACCCTTCCCACCCCGCCCCTGTAGATTACGTTCTCCTGCGCCTCGTTTTCTCCCTCCTCTCCTCCTCCTCCTCCTCCTCCTCCTCCTCCTCCTCCTCCGGTTCTCTCTTCACTTCCACCTTCTCCATGTGGTCCCGATTCTCCACATTTTCCGCATACCCTTCCCACCCCGCCCCTGTAGATTACGTTCTTCTGCGCCTCGTTTTCTCCCTCCTCCTCCTCCTCCTCCTCCTCCTCCTCCTCCTCCTCCGGTTCTCTCCTCACCTCCACCTTCTCCATGTGGTCCCGATTCTCCACATTCCCACCCCGGGTTTATCCGGCGTCTCGTTCCCACCCCGCCCATGTTCAATACCTTCGTCTGCGCCTCCCTTTCCCCCGCGAAGTAGGTAGCGCCCTCCCCCGCGAAGTGGGTAGCGCCCTCCCCCGCGAAGTGGGTAGCGCCCTCCCCCGAACACTGCACAGCCTCATCATGACTGCATCCGACTGGGAAGAAGAGTTCGCATACACGAGCAGGGTGCGTTGTCCCAAAAAAGACCGTTCATTATACCTTGGGGACGAGTTGGTCCCCCTTCCTCGTCTTCATTCTCGCCCTCTTGTTCGCTTCTGCCTCTCTCTTCCTTCTGCTCCCCTTTTTCCCCTCTCCTCTCCATGCCACTCCGCCTTTTCTTTTCTTTTCCTCCGGCTTTTTTCTTCGATTGTCGTGGTTTTGGGCTGGAGGATCTTAGGGCAAACTCACACTTCGACTTTCTGGAATGTACATGACGGTAATCGCGCGTAGATTCATCGAAATGGGCCTATTACTCAGTTATAATGCCGGCGACGATAATGAAGAGCGGCGGAAGTGGGTGTACCGAGAGCGTTTGGATACGATTGACAGTGGCGGGAGAAAGATCGGGATCGGGATCGGCGGAACAGGAGTCGGAGACAGGAGGGTGAGAAAACAGGGATGGAGAGGAGGAGAAGAGGAGGGGAACGTGAGGAGGAGGAGGAGAAGAGGAGGGGAACGTGAGGAGGAGGAGAAGAGGAGGGGAACGTGAGGAGGAGGAGAAGAGGAGGGGAACGTGAGGAGGAGGAGGAGAAGAGGAGGGGAACGTGAGGAGGAGGAGGAGGAGATGGATTCGAACTCTCATTTAGTAATCCAATTTGCGCGGCCTGTTCGCTGGGGGTTGGGCGCAGGATCCGCGCACCCGGCGCGGCGTTGGGGCGGAGGATCTGCGCAGATGCCGGCGTTGGGCGGAGAGCGGAGGATACGCGCAGCCAGCCGACGTTTGGCGGAGGGTCCGCGCGGCCAGCGGCATCGAGTGGCCGATCCGCGCAGACAACAGCGTTGGTCGGAGGGTCCGGGAAGCCAGCGCAGCGTGCGGAGGACAGACGCAGCCAGCGCGCAGGCCACTGCGCGCCATTGTCACGGTCATTCACGGCAACAATATGAGCGGCAGCAGTACGCGTGGTCTTTGAACTTGCGGCCTGTTCGCTGGGGGTTGGGCGCAGGATCCGCGCACCCGGCGCGGCGTTGGGGCGGAGGATCTGCGCAGATCCCGGCGTTGGGCGGAGAGCGGAGGATACGCGCAGCCAGCCGACGTTTGGCGGAGGGTCCGCGCGGCCAGCGGCATCGAGTGGCGGATCCGCACAGACAACAGCGTTGGTCGGAGGGCCCGGGAAGCCAGCGCAGCGTGCGGAGGACAGACGCAGCCAGCGCGCAGGCCACTGCGCGCCATTGTCACGGTCATTCACGCCAACAATATGAGCGGCAGCAGTACGCGTGGTCTTTGAACTTGCGTCCGTGTCCATTTCGGACCCCATTACAGACTCTCCCCCATCTTTAGCGGCTGCTATGCTCCGTCTCCCGCACCTTCTCCATCGCCTTCACCTCCTCGACCTCGGTTACGTCCTCCACCTCTACCATCTCCATTCCCTCTACATTGTCTACAATGTTCCACCTTTTCGACATTCTCTTGCCTCCACTTTCTCTCCGTCCTTCTCTGTCGACTTCTCCCTCGTCGGCTTGTCGTTTGCCTCTACGACCCTTCCGTGCATTTCGATCTCGTCATTACCATGCCACCACTACTCCTGCCAACCCCTCTTCCGTCCACCTCGTCCTACTCCTGTCCACCTCCTGGGGTCCACTGCCTTCTGCCCATCTCTTTCTCCTCCTCCTCCTCCTCCTCCTCCTCCTCATCCTTTCGTCGTCGTTCTCGTAACGTCTCCGCTTCTTCTTCGTGTCCCTACGAGGAGTATGGGCGTGAATTAGCAGGAGAAGGAAGTCCGTTGATAGGGGAAGAGGTAAGGTGAGGAGGAGGGAGGATAGGAGAAGGAAGTCCGTTGATAGGGGAAATAGGTAAGATTAGGAGGAAAACGAGCAGGGACAAAAGAGGGCGAAACAAGGAAAGAGGAGGTGGAGGAGGCGGACAGGTGTATGCAGGAGATGAGGCGGAGGGGAGGAGGACAGGACGACAGGTCTATCAGGGAGGGAGGAGGAGGAGAGGTAGAGGTTTGTGTAAGGGGAGGAGGAGGAGAGGTAGAGGTTTGTGAAGGGAAGGAGGATCTGGAGCAGGAGACTGAGTTGTCGATTGGGGTTGGTCGTCGAGAAGCGCGTGGGATGACAGTCTGTCGGGATGACGCGGCTCGCTATCGGTGCTTGGTGATGACGTGCTTTTGTTGCGTAAAACGACCACTACCTCCGAGCCTCTTTTTCCGGAGGCACCCTAACACTGCGCACCGAGTTTCGCCGAACCTGGCATTTGTACAGCAGCATCTTGTTTTTCTTTTCTGGTACCGATGAAAGAATCCCCAAGGCCATGATTGCTGTCACGTACATCTTATGAAGTGCTAGTGTGGTATTGCCCTCAGTGAGGGCGTCAGTCGGAGACAACAGAAGAGAGAAAAAAAAAAAACAAACATCCCTTATGCTATGGTAGCGGTCAGATACACGGTGCTCCAGTGCTACTAGTAGTGTGATTGTGCCCTCAGATACACGGTGCTCCAGTGCTACCTAGTGTGATTGTGGCCTCAGTGAGGGCGTTGCTGCCCCCAATTACGCCCTGCCTATCTGGCAGGACACTACAAGCAAAAAGAAGACAAAACAACAATACTCATGTTCCCCTAATAGCGGCCACATGCATTCTAGAAACTACAAGTGCAACAGTGTGATTGTGAAAAAAACGAAAAAAGAAAAAAGAAAAAAAAAAAACAGTGTGATTGTGCCCTCGGTGAGGGCGCTGCTGCCCCCAATTACGTTCTGCCTGGCTGGCAGGACACTACAAGCAAAAAGAAGACAAAAACAACAGTACCCATGTTCCCCTAATAGTGGCCACATGCATTCTGGAAACTATAAATGCTACTATGCCCTGGGTGGGCCTTTCCCGACATCACGAATGTAGTAGCTGTCAGATACCTTTCTTTTTTTTTTTTTTTTTTATATCTCATGTTGATTTATTCGAATCTCAGCGACGGGTACCGGGCCTGCCCTGAGGCCACGAATTCCAATTTGTAGGCTTCAAGATGGACTTCTTCTTCTTCTTCTTCTTTTTTTTTTTTTTTTTTTTTTTTTTTTTTTTTTTTTTTAAAATGGACTTTGCGTTTGCCTGGGAAAGGGAACTGGTGGTTAAATGGATAAATAGAGACAATTCCTTGTTTGTAAAATGTCCAGCGCATGCGCTCGCGATTAATTGGGAGGTGATTTTTGAGAAACCCAGAAGTATAAATAGCGTTTACTACAAGTTGATGTACAGTTACCTATTTATAGAAACGGGTCCTCCAATCGGAGATTTAAAAACAAAATAAAAAACACTGAGTTATGTCCAATTTTAGCTATTAAAGCATATCTCAAATTAACGTGAAAGTATATGTCCAATTAGCTTAAAAAGTCCCTCGGGACATCCGTTAAAATTGGAACGATACAGAGAAGATTAGCATGGCCCCTGCGCAAGGATGACACGCATAAATCGAGAAATGGTCCAATTTTTTTTTGTTGGACTCATATTGTACGTGAACTGATCTCTTACAGTGATTGTGACTCTGTGAAAAAAAAAACAAAAAAAAAAAAACAATTAGCTTAAAAATACCTCCCACTTTAGCAAAATATAGTGTCTAGTATCAGTGATACCGCTTAAGGAGAAATTGGAGGCTAGATTAGGAAGTTAACTGTCCCTTAGAGCGCATGTGCTGGCCTTTTTCACCCATTAAGTGCATGCTGGCACTAAGGTGCTACGTGGACAATTCGGATCGTACAGGGAAGTCGGACTGTGAGTATGTGCTTTTTTTTGTTTTTTTTTTATGTTTTGGAAAATCATGTTCGATTGAGCGTGCGTGGGCCTCCTTGACTTGGGCCTCTCAACCATAATGGGCAGGAGCGTGCGTGGTAAACCTTGTAAGTATCCTTGACTTAGGGGGGGAATAGGAACCGGACTGTTGCTCCCCAGAAAGGCAGGAGCCAGAACCGAGAGGTTCTGTTTTGTTTAAAAAAAAAAAGAAAAAAAAAGAAAAAAAAAGTGATCGATTGAGACTTCACTCTCACCACATTAATGGTCACCAACGCCCTCCCAACTAACAAAGTCTACAGTTGTGCTCGTCTTCCGCAGGGAGAGTTTGTCAAGCGAGCGCACAATTGTGCTGCCGGTGCTGCGTTTCATTTCTTCTTCTTCCCCCTTCTTGGTCGTCGAAAGTAATGCTCATCTTCTTCTTCTTATTGATTTTTCTACTGTGGTTCTTCCTCTACCCAATTCCATCCAGTTCATAGGGTCTTTCTGTCCAGGTGCAGGTAGTCCGCATCTTCACAGACATGTCTATCTCACCCAATCTCTCTCCCAGACAGTACCCAGATTGTTATTACCCCTTTTATGGGGGTCGGAACTCACCCCACAAGGAATTTCGCTACCTTAGGACCGTTATAGTTACGCCCGCCTGGGGCTTTGGTTGCTAGCCGCACCATAATAGGGGTTGCTAGCTAGCTTCACCATAATAGATGTTGCTAGCTAACTTCCTTAGCCTTCCGGCAATGGGCCGGCGTCAGTCCCAATACGTAGTCTTACGACTTTGTGTGGGGTGACTTCTTCTCCATAAAAGAATTTCCTTCTCCTTGTAGGATTGTCCTTGTCCACTCTGCATCCACAGGGAGGGATTGCCAAGTGCACAAAAGTGCTGCCTGTGCTTCTTTTCATCTCTTCTTCTTCTTCTTCTTCTTCTTCGTGGTCGTCGAAAATAATGCTCATCTTCTTCTTTCATGTTTTATCTTCTTCTTTCATGTTTTTCTGCTGTGCTTCTTCGTCTTCTCCTTCGTAAAATGCTCGTGTCCTGGTAGGATTGTCCTTGTCCACTCTAGATCGGCTTTGTCGAACTGTCTGTTTTATGGTCTTGTCTTCTCTTCTTCTTTGCCAAAATTTTCTGGTTTTCTTCTTTTCAGTCGGATTGCTGTTCTTCGGCTCTGGTTCGTCTTTGTCTAACTGTTCACTAATCTTCTTGTCTGTCGAATGGTCTTCTCTATTTAGTTTTCTGAATGGATGGTCGAGCTCCAAAGCAAGTGTACGGCCATTCCTCTCTCTTCTTCTTCGTCTTCTTCTTTGTCGAACCGCTTTTTCCCTTTTCTTCTTTTTCATGCCGCAACTCTCCTGTTCTAGCTGCATCCTCACCATATGTTTATCACAGATGGGAAATTTCTCCGCCTTCCTGGGTTGTGCATGTTCGCGCGTCAGTCACCGATCCTTCTAGGTCGGATCTAGACCGCTCTGCGTCACTCGCACGACCTTCCTTTGGTATCTCCTCCTCCTCTTCCTCCTCTTCCTCCTCTTCCTCCTCCTCCACCTCCTACTGCTGCTGCTGCTGCTGCTGCTGCTTGTCCAAAGGTCTGCATTGTCTTCCGGTTGCAGCTCTCTCTCTCTCTCTCTCTCTCTCTCTCTCTCTCTCTCTCTCTCTCTCTCTCTCTCTCTCTCTCTCTCTCTCTCTCTCTCTCTCTCTCTCTCTCTCTCTCTCTCTCTCTCTCTCTCTCTCCCTCTTGCAATCCATGCCTCTTCCTTCTCTCCTGGAGTTGTCCTATCTACACCATGTCTTCTCCTTGCGTATAGTTTCGACCTCTCTCTTGCTAGGTTTCCCCACGTCGCAGGGGTCTCTCCTCCCCCTACCCCCCCTACCCTCCCACCACTCACCCCCTTTCTCTGTCTCGTTTTTCCAACCCCTGCCTTCTATTCTTCCGCTGTGTTGATAGTCGTTCTGCGTCTTCCTTGGTCCAAACGCAGACCTCCCTTGTACTTCGTTCTTTCGACTCTCTCTCGCTCTCTGTGGGTTTTCCGTCCTTGGCCTCTATTTTTACGTTTTCTCGACTTGGATTCTTTCTTTTCCTGCGTGCACCCGAAATCCTTCACGTCGCCCTTCAATCGCCTCGATTGAGTATCGGGTTTTCTAGTCATGCACCTCTTTCTCACGTCAGCGAGTCCTGGTGCTCTCTAAGTCCCTCTCCCGCTTCTGCTCCCTCAGATTCATTTTGATTCTTCCTCCTTGTGCACCTTCTGCATAGAAAAGTTGAGAATCGGAAAACAGAAAAAAAAAATTTCGGCATTTCTTTTGTAATAGACGCGGGAAAGCGGGTCGACTGTTTAACAAAAAAAGATAGTAATGAGAATGTTTCAGTGCTACATCCAGGAAAAATATTAGTTTGAACATACATGCCCATCGTTCTCCCGGCTGTGCTTGTGTGTTGCTGCACAATGTCGGGTAGCTGTCGCTCATTGACAGATCATTGTCGATTTTGTTCTCAAAAAAAAAAAGAAAAAAAAGAAAAAAAAAGAATGTTTCAGTGCGGAAACAGTAAGGGGAAAAAAAAGCGGCAAAGGAAAAAAAAAAAACACGGAATGAGGATTGACTCAGTGCCAAAACACTAAAGGAAAATAAAGGTGAGACTTCTCATAGAGAATGGGAGATTGACCGAAGAGAGGTTTCGCAGAGAGTTGGAGATGGAAGGGGGTATTGCAGAGCTGAATCCGAGGTGGAGGAGCAAGGGTCTCGTTAGCCACT